CAAAGTTGCGGAAAGACCATCAATCCTTCATATATTGGGAAAGAACAAGGTAGTGGACAATATACTAGATGTGAAGACTTTGTAACGTTAACCACAGAGAAGATTGCTCGTGTACATGAAAAAATTGGTGGTTAAGTTAGAAACAGAGACAGAAACAATGTGGCAGGAAAAAATATTACATGACATCTCTAGCAAGCCGTAATGGCTCGTCAATTGAATGAACAAAATCAATGTTTGGTTTCTTTAGGGGGTGACAGTCTGCATCTTCCTCATCACTTTCATCTGCAGATGACCAAGCGAACAAATCTGACTCGTCATCTGAAAACATAATGTTATTAAGTAAGAAATTGATAGTTAATTATACAACATGGCAAAATGAAAGCTAATCTCAAGTTGATCGCAACACACCACGTAAAACATAAAAACTTCCAAGTGCATTGCTTTAGTTGGTCTGTCAGGGTAAAAGTTTTACTCTATGCACTTTTTTGCACAATGAATTTACATTAAACACACACTTCCTTAAAACAATCACAACGAGACAGTGAAATGATACAGAGGAAAAAATGAATCTGCAGATCTGAAATTCTACTTTGTTGGGAAAACTTATGGTTCTTAGTCTTCAGTGTATAACTCAATGCTTCATGAGGTGGAAAAAAAACGGATGAACCCAGTTCTCAAATATGCATGTCTGCTATTCCAAAGTGTTATCACAGAAAACAAACATGCAATTGTTTGTAGGTCAGAGTGAAGTGTTTATGCACATGAGAACGTTTTACAATCATGGGACCACAGGCATGGTCAAATAAGAAAGTTGAAACTTCAAGTTCTTTGTTTTTTAATAAATACCATACTGTATGCTAAATAATATGAAAGAATCCAAACTTTGAAAAAATATAAAAATTGTTGACTTTTATGTGTCAAAATCTTCAGCAGTTTGAAATATCATACCAAGAAAATGGACCTTCATTGAATGCAATGAGACATATAAGAAATTTTACATAATGATGCCATTCTAACCAAAACTAAGGTAGCACCAGTAGAGAATAGCAAGGAGAAATCATGTAAATGAAGAGTTAATCCTGAAAATTTAAATATTGCACCAAGTAATGAATAAATCTAGTAAGGACCACAAGAGGAAGAAGACATTGAGAAGCAAAAGAAAAAAGACAGATGTCTATAGATTTTATCAATGCAGTTAATGCTCAGAGGAGCTGAACGATGAACTTAAACCTATGTAGAAAAAAGACTAACTACTATGTTATGATTTGAACATTCAACTATTTTTGTTGCTATTCTTGTGTTTTGATACTACCATACTATCAGACTGGTCCAAACGACTTGATGGTTATTGCATGAGCGGTTGCAACAGCAGGAAAACCAAACTACAAAATAGGCCACTCACCAGAACAAGCTGGATGAGTTGGTAACTGTCCGACTGTTGAAACCCGAATATTGCCTGGGAGAATACAGTTGCAGAATGATCCTGAAATTTCCCAATCTCCATATGAATTAATACCTTCTTTTTGGTGGTAACAGAGCATGTTTCAAATAAGATACTGACCTAATCGGGCAAGTCTATTCACCCATCCTGGAATTGGCTTTCCTGTCAAACGCATGCAGACTTCATCTGTAAAATGATTGCAGTTCTTGATGATCAAATGATAGGTGTCACCATGATATTTCCCAGCAAGGTCTTCAATAAATAAGCGGAATTCTGAACGAGACATATCAGTGGTACCCAGCCACACAGAGCGTCTGAAGATAAAACCAGGACAGCTTTTCGGTTCCACCTCAAATACTCCACTAGTTGGATACTCATGTGCTCCAAATCCATACTCCATGCCATGAACTAGAAGCAAAAGTATACTTAACTTTTGTAAATTACAGTAGAGATGGCTATGGTGAAAATGGAGCAAGATGAAGTCAATATGCCATTAGATCATTGTCAAACAGGACTTATGGGATAAAATAAATGAAAACTTCATTTCTGTGGAATTTCCATTGACCAAGAAAAACTCAAAACTATGGCACTCCCAATGGCTTACCTTCCACTTGCTCTAACCACCATAATGATTAATTCACACATTTAAGATCTTGTAGGTTTGTTCGATATATTAAACGCATTTCTGTCCATAAAAAACTGTATACCATGACTCCACAGTCTCACTAGACACTGTTGTGGAACCAGTAAGTTTGCCATTTTCATCATGAGAGATAAAGAGAATGAACAAACAGAACATATTGACACTGCAGTGATTGCACTAAGATTCGTAAGTACAAACTTCCTGTGTTGGAGTTACAAAAAAAAGACTAAAAACCATCACACAAATTTACAGTGGACTTGAAAGAAATTACCGTGGGTGTCTGGCACAAAAGAGCCATTGATGAACCAACTTGAGTAGAAAGATCAGTTGTCCAAGGCAATGAAGGCCCATTTTCTCATTGAGAATATAAAGGTTAATGAAATTGAAAACTTATCTAGCATCTGCTACCTTAACAAGTTTATGCTTGCTAACTACTTAGAAGGTGTGATGTGCATTTGCTTGCATTAAAATTCACCTTAGGCTTGTAAAGCAGAAGAGCTATAACTAAATCTAACTAATCCAAAGCTTATCATATGGTTGATGCATTTTATTGTGATTAGAAAAATCACAAATTATGTTCCTTCTAGGAAAATTTTCAGCCCAAAGAATAAGGCAACTTTGTGAAGCATCTCTGTTTCTTAAAGCTTCATTGAACCATTTTTTCACCAAGTAATAATGTAATATTTTGTTAGGCTAATTATATATTTCCTCCTATAGCTGTCATCAAGGTCCCTCGACTTATAAAAATCATATATGGACCCCTATGGTTTCGAAATTACATACTCTAGGATTGCCATCAGTAAATAGAACAATACCTAAATTAAATATTCGCCTTCTCTGTTTCCCCAGATTCTCTATCTGATTTCTGCTTCCATCTCTCTCAATGCAGCTAATCCAACTTCGTGTAAAAGAAAAAAGCCATAGTTTGATTTGAAGCAAAGCAGAACCAATGACCTGCAAAGCAGAGCCGTCATCGTCCGTCGCAACCACCAGCCAACGGCTCACGAACTCATCCCCGCCGTGAGTCCGGACTCCCCAAGCCCCGATCACCCGTCGAACCCCACGGCCAGGATCTCGGTCCAAGATCGCAGTCGGAACTCGAATGCAGTGGCGGAGGACTCCATGTAGGAGCCTCGTAGCAAAATGAACTAAACTACAGAAGTGAAAAATGAACGATGTGGTGAAAAATGAACTAAACTCGTAGCAATTTCGAAAAGGGATCTAAAAGTGACTTCTAAAAGTCCAGAAACCCTAATCTTACGAGGAGATAACTACAGAAGCAAATATGTAATTAGCCCTATTTTATTCGTACGTCAATGTAGCAAAGTTCCAAAAATTCATAACCCAACTTAGTAGTAGGAAATATTTGTATAATTGCAAGTTGTAGAAGCGATCAACAGTGACAAGAAACAACGATTATTTAAAGGACGAAGAGTAAAAGAATTGATTTCCTAAAGTAAGCATCCCTAGTTAGAAACAAACAATAATAGCAGGAAATAGAAGATGAAAGAAATGAATCAAACGTGATCCCCATTCCTGAACTCTGACGAGATCTTGTGGGGAAGCTCGACGAGAACGCACCTTCGATCCCAGAGTGGAAGACCCCGAGCCCAAACCAGTACAGGTATTTATTCACCGGCGTCAGATCATAAACATTCAAGTAGAGATGCGTCCTGCCGCTCCCGTCTTTGCCCCCATTGTTCACACTCTTCGTGAGGGAAGATCTCGACACCATGTTGACCCGATTAGACATAATAGAAGCAAACAGGCACTAGAAACCCTAATTCCACATCGAATCCCCAATCTCCGACGCCTCGATTCAGCGTCGGATTCAAGAACCGGGATCCCGGTACCACGAGATCGGATTGAGGCGAAACGGTGGCAAGATTTAGATTCAGATTTCGTCCCCGGCCTTCTTCTCCGCGGAGAGGACAGCGTCGTTCTCGAGGGGGAGGAAAAAGGGAGAAGAGAGGCGAGGTTTCTCCCTTTCGAACCTTTCGATAATATACGTGGAGAAGAAAGCGGGGGGAAGGAAGAGGGAGGCGGGGATTAGCTGGGTAAGGCTCCCCTGTCTGGAACATGGCAGGGAACAGCCTCTGTTTCATCGGTCGCACGAGGCTGGTAGACACTTGGCTAAACATGAATGGGATTTCACGTAGTTTGATGCTTGGTGGATCGAGCGAATCCGACGACGCGGCAAGCAGGCGCGAATCCGTTTCTCACACGTCGACTTTCGTGCCGTGCTTGTTGACAGCTCTAGGTCGTGACTGCCAGCGTGGCGCAAGAGGGTTGTGGGACTCGGGTCGGTATCCGTAGAATCCGACGCCACGACTCAATTCGCGAAATAAAGCCAGAGCTATATGTACATGTCATATTAAAATTTGTAATAGCCATATATGCTATTTGCGGACCTTCTAAGGACGTATATGTAAACGTGCCCTTTAGGGTTTTAAGTCCGAAGGAAGCCATACACGCTGTCGCCACTTAGTCAAGTCGATATGATGAGGTGTGACAGTTGAAGGAGCAGAAGCATTGGGGTTTCCATCGCATAGCTGCGTCTCGAGCATGGCCATGGCGGCGGCAGCCTCTGCTGCGGCAACGGTGGGCGCAAAGCCTTCCTTCTCTTCCCACGCCACTCACGCCCTCCTCATCTCTCGCCTCCGCCACGGGCTTTCCTTCCCCAAGCACATCTCTTCCTCTTGCCCAACCCTCGCTTCTCGCTCCGCCCCCAAACACCTCCCCCTCCGCCGCCCACCCCGCGCGACGGCCGCCCCCGCCGAGACCGCTCCCGCCACCTTCCACGGCCCCTGCTACGTCCTCGGCGACAACATCGACACCGACCAGATCATCCCCGCGGAGTACCTCACCCTCGTCCCTTCCAAGCCTGACGAGTACGAGAAGCTCGGCTCCTACGCCCTCGTCGGCCTCCCCTCCGCCGCCTACACCACCCCCTTCGTTGGCCCCGGCGCCACGCGCACGCGCTTTCCCGTCATCATTGCCGGCGCCAACTTCGGATGCGGCTCCTCCCGCGAGCACGCCCCCGTCGCCCTGGGCGCTGCCGGCGCCAGGGCCGTCGTCGCGGAGTCCTACGCCAGGATCTTCTTCCGGAACTCGGTGGCCACCGGCGAGGTCTACCCGGTGGAGTCCGAAGGGGTTGGGTTGTGGAAGGAGTGCACCACGGGGGACATCGTGACGGTTGAGCTCGGGGAGAATCTGCTGGTGAATCACACGACCGGGAAGGAGTACAAGTTGAAGCCGATTGGGGATGCCGGGCCGGTGATTGACGCTGGAGGGATCTTTGCTTACGCGAGGAAGACTGGTATGATTGCTTCGCCGTCAAATTAAAGGTATGAACTTTTTTCCTCATCATTTAAATCTTGGTCAGAAACTGTAGCCTTGCATGTGTTCGGCTTATCAATTGAATTGGGAAGGTGTTTGTTCATTGATAATATCATTAGGTTCAAGAAAACTGTTCCGAATATAAATCGATAAATCATGTCTCATCTACTGGCTTAAGGTGATATCACAGCAGAAGATATTGTGTTTAAAGCTTAATTAGACTGAGAGGATCACATGTTGGGTGACATCACATGTCGTATAGAATGGTTCCAATACATTTGTTTTAGAGGAGGATGCAACCATTCTTTTGTTTCTCAAGCTATTGCCTCAATTTTAGGGAAATCGAGTTTGGTGTCTTTCTACTTCTAAGAATTCCCTGGACATTATTAACTCTCACTGACTTTTGCCTAGCTTGTAGTCTTTAGCAGTACATCATGCAATAAATAGTCATGTCATCCAACTAGTTGACGTGAATCAATCTTATTCCACACGGACTTGACCTGTATATCTGATCAATGATTATAGATGGAGTAGTTGCATCCTTCTCTTCTCTTAGAAGTTATTGAGCATAAGGTCAATTAAACAGACTGATTTTTTAGCACTTTCAGCATATTAATTTTTGTGCATTTGGTCGTTATTCCTTTTTGTTCCTTTCTTCGGTCAATTTCTTTTGGCTCCTATGATGAATCTTTGAGGAGATTGTCCCGTAGATTTGATTCCATTGCATTGCTGCTTGCGTTGATTGGTATAGGGTCATGTGGTGGAAAGTTCACTCAAATTGTTCGGACTTGCTCAAGCATGATTGGGTCCAGAGGGTAAACACAACGGAATTCTCTTATCAAGCTAAATTCCAACCTGAATCCACTTCCAAGCTGGAACTCTCTCAGTTATGGATTTCAGGTTCATCCTATATACATTTGGTTATGATGAAGCTGGAGTAAATCCCACTGATGTGCACCCTTGCACATACGTAGGACCTTTGAGCTAGTGTATGAGGCTCCTACTTTTATATATCATTTCTGCTGGGGAAATATTTAGCTATTAGACTTAGGATTTAGGCATAGGATATATCCCACGGAGATCTGATTTTTCTTAAATTCTTTTTTTCTTCTTGTGCATCGGGAGAAAATTTGTTGGAGAATGTTATCTTTTTGGTTATTTGAGAAGAAGAATGTCTAATTTCTATTCTTTTTATGATTGTTTCCATATTTTGCACATGATGTTGTGGCTCCTCTTTCTCAAATCTGTCTTTTTGATTATTTGAGAAGAAGTGTATCTAATTCTTACGTTTTTCATGATTTTTCCTACATCTTGCACAATATCTTAAACCTCTTGTCACCAACTTTTGATTCATTTTCTTTTTTTTTATTATTATTGGTGAGCTTGGCCTTACCCTTCTTATCTCTGATCTCCTGTATCTCCTTGATATCTCTTTTAGTTATCATAATTCTATCAACAGCATTAACATAAGTTTTGAGTTTTAAAACTAAAATCCGACTTCTTTATAGTTGGTCTTGGCCCCCATTCAAATTATTTTGTCTTTCTAGATTCATCATTAGTCATATGAATAGCAAATCTAAAAAGTTCAATGAATTTAGCTTAATACTATCCAATTATCAAATTTTCTTGGATGAGATTTAATAACCCCATCTCTTTCTAATCTTTGATGAAATCAAGAAAGTACAATTCATTAAACTTTTTGAAGAATATTCTCCAAGTGATAGACTCCTGCCTGACTTTGGAAATTCTTTTAGTCGTTCTCCACTTAATCTCTCCTTCCAATATAAAGGTAGCAAAAGAGACCTCTAGGTCATTAGAACAATTTAATTCAAAAAATATTTTCTCCATTGTATCATCCATTGTTTTGCTACCAATCGATTAGGTTCGCCACTAAAACAGGAAGGATTTAACTTCTTAAATAATTCTATTCCCATCTCATTCTAATTTGGCACCTCAGCCCCAACATTTCTTTCTTGTTGAATATGTTGTTAGATGTTTGTGATATTTCTCGTTGATTGATGATATGTTTGTGAATCTACTATTAGATTGATGATATGTCTGTCAGACTCTGTTACAATGTTTTTTAATAGGTTTATAATGTTTCTGGTCCTTTCATCAAAACCCTTAAGCTTATTCAAAAACATTATAATTGGGACAAATTGATTCAAAGCCTAATAGAAATCAACTTATATACAAAATAGGGTTCCAAACAATTAGTCTTATTACTTTAGGAACAAGAACAACCAAATAGAAATGTTTTGTCAATTTTGAGTAGGCTTATAGTGTTTTTGGCACCTTTACCAAACCGCTATAAGCTTATCCAAAGATACTATAATCAGATAGACTCAAAACCCCATAGCAATTAGCATATATGCAAAACAGGATTTCAAATAATTATCCTTATTGGTTTAGGAATAAGAACAATGTTTTTTAATAGACTTACAGTATTTAAGCCTATTAAAAAAATATTATAATTGAAGCAAATTAACTCAAAATGTAACACAAATCAGCTCATATAAAATATATGGTTTGAAATATATATTTTTATTAGTTTAGATACAACAGCAAACAAATAGGAAGTCCTTCATGTCAGTTACAGCATTTTCTTTTTGTTTTTGAATAGGCTTATAATATTTTGAAAAACCTATGAGCCTATTCAAAAACATTGTAGCCGAGGAATTGGACCAATTCATCGTATAGACTGGTTCATGGGACGAGTCCATTAAAAAAGAGAGCTGTTGTTGCATCAATAAAGAGTATTACGAGGATTATGTAGCGGTCCCTTGAGAAATATGAAAAAGGGGCACCTTCCAAAAAAAACCCGAAAGAGGGATTTCCTCGAGAATTCGGCCCGTGTCGATGGTTTATTTTTCCAAGTTTGATTGCAAGATTATGTGAAGTATCGTATGTGTCAGTTAATCCAATTGTCTATTATGCTTACAGGGAAGATCTTGCGGGTTATTGCAACTTTTGATCGATCAAGTACTCCTTTAGTTGTGTGATGATCAAAAATTTGCCTGTTCTACTTTCTCTTGGAGAGAGATATAAACATGGTGTAATAAAATCTACTCCTTGTAACAGTTATGTGGATATTGTGATCAACAGACATTGCGCTGCCTCAATTTGATTCAACTTTTTGTTGCATGACATGGGTATTTCTGTCAAAGCATTAATGAAGTGCATGTCTGCAGGATATCATCACAACCTCTCTGTTCTCCATCTGAATGTTCTTTTAATTTCCTATGTTGGAGCTGTAAATTTAAGAGTCTCCGTCCTCCTTGCTGGGATGAAGCAATCAAGTAATTGAGTGATGGTGCTGGGAATTACAGGCTGTGGACTCATATAGACTGCGATGAACTCCAATTGCCAGCATGTTGTGGCTCAACTCACAGCGACAGATGTGCTTTGGACTTCGCTTGCGAGGATTAACCTGTCTTCCTCCTCCTCCCCTTGCCCTTTGATCTGCTGCAGCAATTCATCAAGCAGCTCGTATATGGACTGGCTCTGAGGGTGAACTCTGTCGCCTGATACGAACTCCCAAGCCCTGTGGCCAACCTCAACCACACTACATCCTGCCTCCCTCTTGCCCCCATGGTACCTCACGGCTTCCTGCATCCTCTCCACGTCCCTCCATTTCTTCTTCCTTGCGTACAGATTCCTCATCACGACGTAGTTCCTCCAGTTGCCAGGCTCAACCGCACTTGCCCTCCGCATGGCTCTCTCGGCCCTCTCCATATCCCCATGGCGCCCACAGGCGAAGAGCAAAGAGCTCAAGACTATCCCGTTAGGACCGCAGGGCATTTCTTCGAGCAGCGTCTCGGCTTCCCCAAGACGCCCACTTCGTCCCAGTAAGTCGAGCATGCAGCCGTAGTGCTCGACCCTGCGCTCGACATGGAGTGCCTCCATCTCATTGAACCACCTCCGACCTTCCTCGACCAGCCCACCGTGGCTGCAAGCGGACAAAACCCCGATCATTGTCACCTCGTTCGGGCAGACCCCGGCTCTCCGCATCTCTGTGAACACAGCTAACGCCGCCTTCGCTCGACCATTCACGGCAAGCCCATTGATCATGGCGTTCCACGCGGCTGTATCCTTGATCGGCATGGCGTCGAAGACTCGTCTCGCCTCGCAGACATCCCCACATTTAGCATACATGTCGACTAGTCCGATAGAAACGGTGATCACCTGATCCAGCCCTTTTCTTCGAGCGTAGCTGTGGATCCACCTACCGAGATCAATCGCGCCCAGATCAGCTACTGCAGGGAGAACACTGACGAGGGTCACATTGTCGGGTTGAGGAAGGCAGCAAGTGGACTGCAGCTCCCGAAATAATTCCAGTGCCTGATGGGGCTGTCTGTTCTGGCAATGCCCACCAATCATCACGTTCCAGGAGTAGAGATTCTTCTCTGGCATTACATCGAACAGTACGCTGGCTGCCTCCATGTCCCCGACCTTGCAATACCCTGAGATCAAGCTGGTCCAAGAAACGACGTTTCGATCACTCATCTCGTCGAACAGTCGCCTGGCGGAAGCCATGTGGCCTTTCTTCACGAAAACATCGATCATCGCATTGAAGGCTGCCGTGTCCTTCTCGGGCATCAACTGAAACAATTCCATGGCAGCACCTGCTTCGCCACCCCTTGCGTAACCGATGGCCATCGAGGTCCACGATGCCAGACTCTTCAGCGGCATATCATCAAACACCTTCCTCGCAGATGTCATGTCGCTGGTTTTTGCGTACATGTCGACCAATCCGGTGGACGAGAAGGCATGGCCGCAAAATCCCGTCTTGATAACGTGTGAGTGGAGTTGAGGCCCTTCTCTATGTTCCGATGGGTCGCCGGAGAGGGCGGCACAGGCCTTGAGGAGCAAGGGAAAGGTGTAGCCGTCGGGGGAGAAGGGAGGCTCGACAGGGGAAGGCGGGTGCCTCAACAGATCCCTGTAGAGGAAGATTGACTCGCGGAAGAGGCGGTTGCGCACGAGGGCCCGGATGAAGGAACCGCAGAGGAAGGCGTCCTGGGAGGGGCGGCAGTCGAACAGGCGGCGGGCGTGGCGTAGGAGGGCGGCAGCGACGAGGGGAGAGGCGGGAGCGGCGAGGTCAGAGAAGGCGGAGATGAGGCGGGTGAAGAGTGAGAGGTTGGCGTGGAGGGTGCCGCGTCGGAGGAGGAAGGCTTGGATTTTGAGGAGCGAAGAGGCGGCGGCGGAGGAAGTGGCCACAGGTTGAGACGGGATTCGCTGGAGGAGGTAGAAGCAGTGTCTCTCTTCGGGAGTCCAAAGCTCTCCGATGCGTCCACCCGATCCCATAGCGGGGGTGTCGAGTAACCATGAGGATAGTAATTATGATAAAACTCGGCTGACGTCAACCGACGCCAACCGAATCGGAACACCGATCGAGGTGCATTAACGCCTACTCAGGCGCGGTTCTTCACGCCACGCCAGCACCCATGTCAGACGCTATCAGCCTGCCTCCTGTAGGCGAGCACATCAAACAACGGTAAGCTTCCCTATAAATACCCTCTCGTTCATCAGAGAAAAATGGGGTCACACAGACAAATACTTCTTCATCTGAAACCCCCTCCACATCTGCTAACTTGATCGTTGGAGGGGTCGAGTCGAGCTTCCCGACCCGACCTTTGTGCAGGTGCGAAGCCGAGGGTCCCTGGCGGCCTCGCGGACGACGAGCCCCTATCCGGAGGAGACGACGACCCTATCCCCGTCCCGATCGGACTTTCACACCGGACCGACCCCGCGGGCTCGAGGCACGCCCCGAAGAGATCCCCGACGTCCGGACCCGAACCGAGCCGCGTCGGCCCCGAGGCCACGACTCTCAAAGTTATTTCCCGCAACACATACCACCCGAGGGTGCAACTTTTGTTTCTAACTTAGACAGAGTTGCAGAATGAAGTCGGTGCAGGTCACCGTCGTCAATTGGACCCTCGAACATGCAGAAACCATCGTCATATGTACGCACATAAAACTACTGAACTTGTCCTATTTAGTATCACAACAAGTCAGTTCAACGCCGCAGCGACATCTTACAATTCTGAGAGGTTTTATTCAACAGTACCAAAACTTAAAAAGAACCTAATGGTACCACAGCGAATACAAGGGATCCAACTATGCTCAGAAAATGCATACAACCAAATAAATTTGCATTGTCTCCATCATCACGATATATGTGTGCATCAGCAATACCTCAGAAAACGACCGTTGATGAGAGACAAAATTGAATTTTAGCAACTAGCAAAAGCTGGTAAACTGCAATGGAGAATCCGACGAACCTAGCGTCAAGAATCCAATTGAGGCTATATGAAGTGCGCCAATTGGTCCCTGAGCTATTTGCTTTAAGTAGAAGAAGGCTTCTCGTTTTCACAGCCTTTCCGGTTGCACACGTTCCGGAATGGATAATTGAGATTGTTACATTTGTCACAAGTCCAGCTACCTTCTGGGGCATCTGATACATCCTTGCTGTATCGGTTTGGGACCTAACCATGAACAGCGAAGAAGTTAGCACACGAAGGATCACAGAACAAAAGGACACCAATAAGAATCGGTCCTTCAAAATGCACAACAAACAGCATGGTGACATGCTTAGCTGATGTACTCCACAAGCTCAGTTAGCTTCCCCAGCAGTAAAAGAATATGCAAAATGCAACTAGCAACTAGCAACTTTACCACTTTTCTCAGCCGTAGAAGTCATAATAGCTTTACACCAAGATAGCCAACCATGCTAGATTCTTATCTCATTTATCACCACGGAAATCTTATTGATCAAGTATTTCTTTACTCAGCTGACGAGCAAAACTTGAAACTCTTAGTCGGACATGAATGTTTAGTTCAGAAGTCATAGGATCGGGCAGGTATGGTTGTGTTAAATTCAGAACTTTGTGCTATGTAGGTTCACCAACTACGAAATGTAATTCTCATATTACAGAAGGTATGGCTGATGAACCAATATATCCCAAGCAAAGGCGAGCATGCGAGGCATGACACTATAACTCATTGCATTGTCTTAAAAACACTCAGCCAATAGTTGCAAAAACTAAATCAATGACCACCATACAGCCAATAGTTGCAAAAACTAAATCAATGACCACCATATATGAATATCCGTACTTTTAGGGACACAATGTTTTAGAAAATAGTTCAACATAGAAATAAGGAAACAGGTGAAAATAGGATAAATGAAAAAGAAACAAAAGAAGAAGACAGAGACTTACAGTGGTAGGCTTAGGAGTTCCACATTTCTTCATGTTACAAGTTGTTCTGAAGGCAAAGTTAACATTCTCACATTGAGGACATATCCAATCACCCTCCAATAACCCATCAGGACCTACACAAAATCCAAATAAATGCTATGACTGATCAAGAAAGAACATTAGTTTCAATCAGAATATATTAGATTTAACCAAAAGATATATGACACAAAGTAAGACCCCTTAAAAACTACTAGTTTGAAAGAATCCCTCTATAAAATAAGCAAGATCATTAGAAATACTAGCAAATGACAGTTGCCATAAACTAACCAATAGAAAAAACTAAAAAATAACCACAAAAAGCCATTTGTCATAAATTTCCCTAATCATCATTACAATGTAATATACAGAAGATAGCCAAGAAGAACAGCAATGGTTTAAAAGATAATTAGAGAGAGGTTACTTTTTCTTCTCATTGAATGGAACACTTTCATGTAAAAGGTGGGCTTCCTACACTCAGTAATCTTCACTTAATTCAATTCTGATTCTCCACGGATGCATTCTTTTTCTCACCTATGCTGTTCAACTATAGTACCATACTAGTGAATAGGATATACCATTTCCCAAGATATCCTGTCATCCCAGTGCTAAGTACGCCTAGCAGTTTCCACTATGATGAACCGAGTAAGGTTCTCACTAGATTTGAGAATAGACTAATTTCGTAATTCAACGATGTGCTGCAACACTAGGCTTATTTCTTCCAATATGCTTAACTGAACACTAGAATGAACCAACATTGAATAAGAAGCAGTATTAAATAGATTTATGAAAGTTTCTTCTATGTATCTAATCAAGTGGATTATGATTTTGTTTTATATATACTGATCCTAGACATGGACAACTATACTTGACATGTGGCATCTTATCATTTTACATCGCAGTTCATTCAGCAAGCAACAAAAGCAACAAAAATACATGATAATCGCATTCCATTATGATCTTTCTATGAAATGACCAATTTAGATGCTATCATCGATCAATGAAATTTATGACTTCAGAATGCCCAATAATCCAAGTATTTGAAGAAGATATTAGTTTTACCATTTTTTGATGAATTCTAAAATTGCTTAAACAAAAGGTACTACATCTTCGCATCCAGCTTATATGAATGGGCAAATTTTAATATACTAGATGGAGGTGCTTTCTATGATACCATTACAAGAAACCATATATTTTGAAATTGCAGTGGTCAAACATGTTGTTCAAAGCTTAGCTACAATCACTACAGGGCATAATGTTCATTTATAGTTTATGCATTGGACTAATGATAATTTGAGACTTAAAAGAGAAGTCAGCATGAATCTTTAAAAAAACAAATTCTAAAAAGATCACACTGAAAATAATGAATTTACCTCCACGACGTTTACGTGAAGTACTATTATCAAACAGCTCTCTAGATGCTGGACCTGATGTCTTTACAATCCAAGTTTGAGTATCATTAGTCAAACAACAGAAATATTCAGAAGCCTAAAATAATATCCTTTGAGAAATTAAAGTGTACCGGCATTGGAGATCCTTCGTACCCATAGCCATATCTGTCCATGATAGGACCAGGGCCACCATATCCATCCATGACAGTACCAGGGCCACCATATCCATCCATGACAGGACCAGGGCCATAACCATAAACTGCAGCATCCATAAATGGAAAAGAAAATCACTTGTGTGCATGCAACATATGTCAAACACGGAAAAAATTTCACGTCAACATGATGACGACGACAACAATAACAAAACACGATAGCATGAAAAATTTCCTGAATGTATACAAAGCAAAAGAGCATGCACTCATAATAGGAAACAGAGGATCATCCATACATATGCACACTCAAGGGAGAAAGAGAGAGAACCTCCTAGAGGTCCTGATGGACCATATGGAGAGAGAAGACTGTATGGGCCAGGAGCACCACTGGGTGGTCCATAACCATACTGCATCCGATGAAGTGTAAAGGAGGAAGGATAGCCACTCAACATTCCAAGTCGCATGGGTGGTGGGACCCCGACATCACCATAATAACTAGGCCCTGGATGATCAAAAGTACCATGGACAGGCGTTGTTCTAGTTATCTGCAAAGCAATAAAATAAGTCACAAAAACTACTCAAATCTCAAATAAAAACAAAACAAGAATGTGTCATACAGGAAGATCAAGTTAAATCTTGATGTGTGATGTGTTTAAACACATCCATCTAATTTGAAGTATATTCCACAAAAGAATCTTCTCGTCAAGACAGATAGGAACTGAAGAAAATAATGTGGTAAGAATTTTATGTCAAAGTTGCACAAATGCAGCAGAGTGCATTGACTGTTACTTTGTTTCCCAATATAAAATGCTTCACAATTCATGACACAGTACAGTAATTGCAAGCAAATAACTCTCTAGTCCAGAACCTGCTCTTACTTGAATATGATACAATGCAAATTGTATAAGATTTCGCCATCAAATGATTATATGGGCTCTTTAATCAGATGCCACATTCAATCTACTAAGAATGTTGCATCAGGAATATTCTTATTTCTTTCATCAAGTCACAGCAATCATGGTAAGGGAACCATGATCATGGTATATAGAAATCATAATCATGTATATCTGTAACAGTCCCATCAATAGAACATATCAAACTGAATAGGCAGCTAAAACAAGCATTGTACTGATCCTTATGACAGAACTAAACTAAGCTCACTGGACTGGGACTGGCAGATGGCCGGGCAGCACCACAACTTCCACGATTGCATGCTGTCCTAAAACTGAAGTTCACATTTCCACACTGAGGGCAAGTCCAATCTCCATCACGCCTAAAACCTTTAAAAAATTCCAAAAGAATATTCAGACTTAGTATTAATACATAAATTATTGCATAACGAGCTGAAATATGATGCCTTCTTCAACTGCAAGCTGAAGACAGATCCTAAACTACCTACATATGTAGAAGTCCCAGAAGCATCCCAGAAAAAGAATAAGAAAGAAGACTATAGAATATAGATAAAGTATCTGCATTCAGTAAAACATAGAGTAGCAAGAGAAAGACAATTGAGATTCTGCAAGTATAACATGGAAAAATA